CATGTTAAAAAAAAGTGCTGCAGAAGAAGAAATTCATTTATATGCATTTTAAAGATATAAGTATATTGAAAAAACCGTGGTATGAACAACTAAAAAATGAATCTTTCTAGATTTATTTTTTAGTTGTTCATATGAACTTTCTAGTTCATACCAACAATGTGTTTACATATCTATAAAATAGAAGAAAAATGAAGAAAATTTTGTGTGCAAAAATATTTATCTGAAAGATACCAAACTTTAATTGATAATACAAGTTAAATATTGACAGCATAAGATAATTTACCCTTACCAGCTAACTTAATTCAAAAAATATCAATGTATTTTTATTCTATTTGAACAGCAATTAGAACGACGTGTTTCTATAAGCTGGGGCAACCCTTTGGTCAACCACTCTTATCTTTGTATTAATTATACATTTATTTGATATTTATATCTAGTCAACGTATAAAAAGATTTTATTTAAATGAGTGTAAAATTAGTATGAAATAGTAAATATAATTTGCAATAGTAAGCATGTGAATGGTAATTTGTAAACAGGAATTCATTCATAAAATAAATTCAAAGATTAATTAGGACGTTGTGATCAAAAGTGCCTAAGTTTTGAACTGAAATTTGCTATAGAGAAAAATAATAATTGAAATATTTTTCAGAAATTAAGCGTATCATAAAAAATAATATTATACAATATTAAAATGTCTCAATAATAATGTAGAAAATATCCAGAAGAGTGTATTTAAAAACCCACCTCACTAGATTAAAAAGAACTATCTACACACCTCAACTAGTTATCTTTTATTCATTTATTTATTATATTTTTTTTTATTTTTATTGTGTTTATCTTATAATTAGTAATCATCATATTCCTATTAGATATAGTCAATATTTTATAGTCAGTCAATATATATTTAATATTTTATAGTCAATATTGCATTCATTTATCTTATTAGCAGTATCTGCTTATTGTTTTTGTAAACTGTATAAGTTAAAATAAAAACAAAAATAATAATAAAGAAAATATAAATAAATTTAATCAGGTTCAAATCAATATAGACTAAATAAATAATATAGTGTAGGGCGGGGCACAAAGCTCCAATTTGACTTTGAGCAATTATATTGTGAAAATCAAACAAACAACTATCTGACTATGTTCAGTAAAACTCCCAGCTAATTGTAGAAATGTGTATTTTTGCTCTTTTTCAAAAATTGTCACCTGGTCTATAGGTGAAAAGAATTTAAAAGAATTTTCCAAATGTATCCATTTTTTTATTAATTTGAATAAATTAATCGCCGGCTTGTAATCTAATTAAACTGGAAACACAGTTTAGCATTCATTTCCAAGTTTGTGCCAACGGCTTTTTTCGTTATTGTAATTTATAAACCGTTCTCTGCCAAAATTTGTTAATTATTTTAAACAGGCCAGCGCATCGGTTATTATTCCGATAATAACCCATGCGGCCAATTTAGTTGTATTAATGACTTTTTTATGCAGATTAAATTTCATATCGTGATATATTCACGTCGATATATAGTCATTTGGGAAGTTTTATGGATACATTAGTAATTAATTTTATCTTAAGTATACAATTTAGGTGAAAGAAAATCAATACGATATATTAGGACACAATGAGGCGTTGTATGAAGTTTGAGATTTTACATTTTGATGGGCAATGCTTTCTTTCAGAAAAGTGATTTTATCCGTTTTTGGTGCAGTTTGCTGATACATATAAGGGAGTTATGGGCTTGTTGTAACCAATTCAATTGAAATAAATCTATAACTAATGTTCATTATTTGTTCACAATTAATCACTATCAAAGTTTAATGATTTTGAAACAAAATAAGATAAATAAATTTATAATTAGTCGACAATAATAAAGCAAACGGAAATTTCATGATAGCACAATTTTATATTAGATGATAAAAATGACGGACCTACGCAGTTCTGTATATTGTGTAGGCCTGCGGGGCAGTAGCTATGTAGGACAATTTACATGTTCAACAGAGACTTAAAAATATTTTAGTATCATTAGGATCCTCTTGAAAAACTAGCTACCCCTGTTACAAATAGTCCCTAGCTCTCCTATATTATTCAATATTAGCGCAATACAATACTTTATCAAAAAAAATTAAGATATACTATTTTCTACATACTGCATGTAGTACATATGCATTGAAATATTTATGGGTTGAAATATTTTTTAAAATCACGAACATGATTATTACGTCCTCATTATGGCTCAAAATACTTCCATATCCCGAATAGTTCGACATTTGAATTGAATTTAAATAAATTGTTTATAGAGCCATTCTGTTCTTAAATTCCATTCTCTGTTACAGTTTTGGAAAAAATCTTTACGATGTCGTTCACCTAATTTATCTCAAAATAACGTATAAAAAGACGTGAAAGCTCTAAAATACTCATAAAATTATATGAGATATATGACAGGTATATATCACATTAAAATATGGAATAGAATACATTAACATACTAAACTAAACAGTATCGGATGTTTTACAAATGATGTTCGTGCTATATAATTCCATAATTTTACATCAAACCATTTGTTTTAAACTAATAGGTTCAATGTAATATTAATTTTACTTCTAGTTCTTCATAAATATTTTTTTTATTTCCTTTGATCTCAATAAAATTTATTTATTTTAATAATAGTATCAATCATTTTTGAAATTTCAACTTTAAACCGTCTTAAAGTTTTCTTAATTAAATACAGTAAATGAAATTAGATAAAAAAAGAAAAGTTATAGACATATTCATCATTTGATATTAAAATCAATATTTTGTATTATTCGGTTAACAAAGAATAATATTTTCTTTCCAATATATTTAAATAACAAAATTAAGTAAATAAATTTTCAAATTACAGAACGTTGATAAATTAATATAGATAATAATTCATACACAAAAGAACGATTTTTTCAAATATGTCTAAAAATTTATAAAAAAAACAATCATTCATTTTACAAAATAGACCATCAAGATTTTTTTTAAATTCATGTAAGAATTTATAAACAAACTGTAATTATATATTTTCAAAAATGTTAAACGAATTTATAAACAAATTGAATTTATTTATTTTAGTTTGGACCATACGTGAAACTAGTCAAGGAGATTTACAAATGGTGTTTTTTTTTACTGTTTATAATTTTTAGGTATGCGTTATAATTGTTTTGTAAGATGTATTGGTATTTTTAAGTTAGATTCAACGGCTTTTTTATATAACCTTTATAGAAGCTTACATGTGGCTGGGGTAAAAAGGAAAAACTAAACCTTTACATTGGCAAAGGATTGAACAATAAAAAATAGTAAATAAAACAGTAAATTAAGTTAAAAAGCAATTTTACAAAAAATAAAATCAATTGTTAATCGACATCTGCTGGAGAATATTTCTTGTAATATCTTTGTAAAAAGTCCCATGAAATTTGTATTTCACATTGGTTAAATCTTGCATCTATATTTTCGTAAAATTCCTTCAAAATTAAGAAAGAAACACGTTGGATCTGTTTTCCCCCTAGCTGTCCAGAAAGGGACAGATGACAAATTTTGGAAAATTAGTAAAAAATCTTATTGGGAATTTTAGTGAAACATAATTCGATACTCCTTTGTTTGATACATGTTATGTGTTATCATAATAATAATAATAATGAACAGTAGTCTGCCCGAAGGCAAGTGCATCCAGTGTGAGACCATCACAAATTAATGATTTCTTTTCCTCGCTTGTTAACTTCCCGTAGGGTAAGTTATTGTAATGGGCCGAAAATCGGAATTGAAAATTTTTACATTTCTCGACGTTTTGAAGGTTTCTGAACATTTTGGCATACCTCAGAAAAAATGGATGTGTGTGTGTGTGTGTGTGTGTGTATGTGTGTGTGTGTGTGTGTATGTATGTGTGGATACAAATTTCCAGTCACGTTTTAGAGCGCACGGATCAACCGATTTGAATGGTTCAAAAAACATTCGATTCCTATTGATAGGGAAAAGAGCTGATTAGTTTTTGACAAAGGCAGGTCCAGCCGTTTCGGAGATACGGAGCAAAGAGTGCGGAAAATAGAAATCGAATTTTGAGAGAACGGAGTATCCGATTTGAATGATCTAAAAAACATTCAATTAGTATTGATTGGGAGAAGTGTTTATTAGTTTTTGGCAAAGGCAGGCCCAGCCATTTCGAAGATACGGAGCTAAATATGTAAAAAATGGCAGTTTTTGAGAGAACTAAGCGTCCGATTTGAATGATTCAAAAAACTTTCTGCTTGTCTTAACAAAATAATTGATTTTGGAAAAAAAAATTTTGTTCGATTTTTTTTTTTTTTTTTTTTAGTTTTTTGTTGAAACAAATAATTTCAACTTTGCAATTCAGTTTATATAATTCTTATAAATATTAGACAATGTTACAATATTTATAATAATCTATTTGAAAACATTCAGTATTCCTCGAACATTTCGTTACGGTACGGGAAGTTCCAGCAATTTGCCTTAAGGCACGATGCCACCCACCCCACTAGTTTATTATTCTAATTATCATCTTTTTACCACTAATACACTCCTTTTTATATATACACCTGTATGCATTTTCCTTTCTTAACTTTTGCTTCCATGCTTCCTGATCCTGCGCTTCGGCTTTCAGATCTCTATATTTTCTCTTCTCATGTAAGTCATCAGTAGTTAATTTACTTTAGACAGTATAGTTACTGAAAGTCAAATTGGACCTTTGTGCCTCACACTATTTTAAATGTTATTGAATCAAAAACTCTTCTAAAGCAATTCAATTATTCCTATCAGCTCACAAGCATAAGTACAAATCATACCCTGCAAAAAATCTGCCGAAAGATGCTCATGAAATAAAATTCTTTATAAATTTTTTATTATGATCTATTAAAGAACAATTCAAAATACAGTTAACAACATTTATGTAGAAATCAATTTGTGTAATGTTTCCTGTTAAGATATGTCTAAACTACGAGATAATATTATGAATCCATTTCCTCACATTTGGGTGTTTTGATACCATTCAATTAAATGTAGTGAATCTCTGTGCAGATCGGCAGATATCGCCGATATTGTTTGATACAGGGCCGGCATTTGCGATGTTCTTTGCATATGAGCCGATGCTCGCACCGTGTTGCTCAATAGGATCGTTGCTTCTGACAGTGTCGCCAAAACATTCGAGACCTTGACCATCTGGTCAACTATGCCTGATGCTGATCGGGGAGTTACACCGCACGCGATCGATAGTTCAAATTTCACACTAAATATTCTTGAATCAGTCGACATTGCTCGAAATTCAAACGCTAAGCGTTGAAACTGACGAGCCAGATCTGGTGACAGATATGGCGTTTCCGCCAATCTGGCGAATATTGTCGCCGCCTCTGTTAAAAAACCAAACACTTCCGACATATTCACCATTTGATTTAAATAATATGAAACTTGAGTTTCATTGGTATTAGTATTGGCCTCCATCTATAACTGGACGAAGAAATAAAGTTATTTTCAATTCGAAAAATAATATATATGTATATAATCAGGTATAACATATATAAAAAATATGAATTTCTTTGAAAAATTATTTTAAAATCCATACGTTTCGGCTATAATCTTAACCTTCATTCTGTGCAAACTAAAAATAAAATTTAGGAGCTTAGATGTATAGGGTCGGCAATCTAACTTTTTTTTTCAACTAGTGCTTATTTCGTGAATGGTAACACTTAGCTCATGTCTGATTTGACAGATAATTTGTTTTATCCTTCCGCTGAACCAATATGGTTGTGTATACGCTTGAACAACGCTGGGAAATATTGCGACATTACTTTGAAAGTCATGGTAATATTGGAGATTGCGAACGGATTTTGGAAGAAAAGAAGCACCGTCAGCTCCGTATCTTCGTTATCTTGTGAAAAAAAGTGAAAGAAACTGGCATCCTCATCGATAAACCAACGTGTGAAAAGCCAAAAACAGTGTGCGTGAAGCGCCATCGACATCAATTTACCATCGTTCTCAGCAATTGGACATTTCGGAGACATCATTGAGACGAATTTTGCATAAAGACCTTGGCATGACGCCATACAAAGTCCAATTGGTTCAGGAGTTGAAGCCATTATTAACCGGAAGGATTGTACTTTCAAATAAAAAAAGAAATTTGAGAAAATATTCAGTAGTTTTTTTTTATTGCATTTTCAAAAAAAAAGTTATTTGGCGGACTTACAACTTGCTCAACCTTGTGTGAAGAATAGAAAAAACAATAACCCATGGTATGAGTTTTTGACTATATAATATAAACATTGAGTTTTTTGTACCTATAACAATGTTTCATAATTTTACTAAGTTTCTAAAAGGAGTAACAATGTAATAATACATGTGTTAACTCTGAAATAGCAGGAGACGAGAGGATTAGCAATAGAAGAGAGGATTTTTAGAAAAAAAAAATTACCAAGATTTTAACATATGTGAAATTAATTCTGAGTTATTTGCACATTTTTATTGCTTTATAAGAAATATGTAAATACTATCCAGATAGCAGATATTGGTTTCGCACAACAAACTGAGGTCATTTCTTTTGTTTATTACACTCTTGTTATAAAATAAATAGTTATGAAAGATCCTTCAACGACATTTTGAATAAATTTTCTTCAAAATGTAGTATGGTAGGGTGAATTCAAAACTCAAAATCAAGTAATGTTGAGAATTTTTTAACAACAATTTGATAGTAGAGGGCAAAATATAATATAAATATAGAAGGGTATAACTAGCCTTGATTCTTAGAAGGTCGCTATCGGGAAAAAATGGCATTGTTTGAAAATAAATAATAAAACTATTTTTTCCGTTGTTAATGTTTTTGGGTGTGAGCACTGTTGTTTAGATTACGAGACCCTAATGTAATTTTTAAGTATACGTTATTTGATTGTTTTATAAGTTAGATTTGACCGTTTATTTTAAATAACCTCTATAAAAGCTTACACGTGAGTGGGGTAAAAAGGACCGGCTGAACTTTGCCCTGGCAAAGGTGTAAACAATAAAAAATAGTAAATAAAAAAATACAAGAGATAAATTAAATAGTTATTCCAGCTTTGCTGATGAATGTTTCTGACGAAATACCAGATCTAAGTTATATACAGTGTATCTCTGTAAAAAATGTACCCAAGAAATTTATATATTGCGTCGGTTAAATAATGCAGCTATTATTTCGTAAAATTCCTTTAAAATTAAAAATTAAACATTGGATCTGTTTGCCTCCTGGCTGTCCCATTTCACCCCGCCTATGGGGTAAAAAGGACCAGGTGACAAATTTTTGAAAAATTGCAAAAAACACATTTTTACAATGATGAATTAGTTGGGAGTTTTACTGAACATAGTCAGATACTTGTTTATTTGATATGTATTATTTGTTGTTATGTAAATGCTTTGGTTCACAATATAATTGTTCAAAGTTCAAAGTCAAATTGGACCTTTGTACCCCACCCTACCCTAATAAATACGCAAAATTTCTTTTATATGCACAATTAATAAATATGCGAAATATATAGTTATTTGCTTGAATAAATATTTTTATAAAGAAATTTGTAAACGAAAATGTTAAATAAACAACTTCTGGTTTTCCTACCCTTAAACTGATGCACTACGCTATGACGTAAGTAAACTTGTAACTGTGTATTATATAGAAGATGGAAAATCGATAGAGCTCTCTAGAAACAGCTGTGAGGCTGCATGGAGCCATTTCGACCTATATTCCCATTTCTTGTTTATGAAATAGTAGCATATGATTAGAATAAACGAAAAATATAAAAATCTGCAAATGAATTTCACGTAGTTTTCTGCAAGGCATTATTAATTATATCTTAAGTGTATTTTAATCAAGTTTAAAATATGCAGTTATTTGCGCTAGTTCACATGTACATCGAATATTTCTTATAATTCGTAATTAACTTTGGGCGTAATTTGTGCCAGAACGTTGGGAAATAATCCGTTATAAAATTATACATTACCAATTTATAATTTTTAATAATTAGAGTAAAACTACACAAAGTACAAAATTGAATAACGAATTCAAAGAACAATTATTTAAAATGCTATGCAGCATAGTGTTTTCATTAATTGTAATATAAGAGATACCAAATTATAAGTTTTTAAATTAGTTTATTATTATTATTATTATTATTCTTAAAATGTTAATTTTTTTTTAGTTCAATTGTTATGGTTGACAGTATATTCCACAGAATGAAGCCTAGGATGTTAGCCAAAACGTATGGATTTCAAATGAATTTTTAAAAAAACATTCATACAATTTTTTATTGATATAAATCCTGATCTTTAAACCAACCTAATATATATTATAGCACCATCAAATTCAACATTATGCAAAAATAATATATATATATATATATATATATATATATATACATGGTCTGTTCAAAAAGTACCCGGAATTACTAATAATTAAATTTCGCGGGTCTGGAGTGTCTGATTGTCAAAATTTTTTATTGTGTTGGTATACATGCCCCTAAAGTATGATGAAATTTTCAGCTATATTCACTGTTTACTTTGTCTGTGGTAGTCGCTAAGGTTCGACGTGTTTTTCTGAGCTCGGCGATTTTTACAATGGAAGAATTGAAAAAGTCAAAGAATTTGTATTAAATTTTGCGTAAAAAATGAAATAAAGTGTTGCAAAGTGCAAAAATTCACCAGATATGGCTCCGTGTGACTTTTTCCTATTCCCAAAGTTGAAGAGACCCATGAAAGGACGGCGGTTTTCCTCGATTGAAGAAAATCGCCGAGAGTGCTCAAGGACATATCAAAAAGTGAATATCAAGGGTGCTTCGAAAATTGGAAAAAACGCTGGCATAAGTGTATTATATCTGGGGGGACTACTTTGAAGGGAACCACATTAATGTAGACGAATAAATAAATATTTTTTTGAAAAAACGAAAATTACGAAAACTTTTTGAACAGACCTCGTATATATATATACACATGAGGGTGGTCCTTAAAATGATCATTTTCGAATTTCCTTGCTCCCAGGGGCTCAAATGGTTCCAAATAAAAAACAATTCTCTGAAAGTTTTAGCTCTTAATATTAACGTTTAGATAGAGCGCAATTCAATCAAACTTCGTATGGAAAGAGCATGGAAAAAATTTTGAAAATTTAAAAAGAATGTTTTAGGTATAACTCTTAGCGACAAATAAATGAGTTTAATTCATTTATTCACTCGCTAAATTACATCTAAAAAAACATTTTTAAAATTTTTGAAAATTTTTCCATGCTATTTCCATACAAAACTTTGATTGAATTGCGCTCTATCTAAACGTTAATATTAAGAGCTGAAATTTTAAGAATTGTTTTTTATCAATTTGGAACCATTTGAGCCCCTGGGAGCAAGGAAATTCGAAAATGACTATTTTAAGGACCACTCTATATATATATATATATATATATATATATATATATATATATATATAAATTTCGCGGAGCAAACAAACAAAATGTGTCACATTGTATGGGGTCCGCAAGTGTCGGAGTCGTGCTGTCCGGAATGCAGTCAGTCTTATCAGTTGGATAACGGTCGCTTCCACTGATAACCTATTTGCACAGATGTTTTTTATTGCATTATTTACAATCGTTAATTTCTCTTTCGTTCTCATGCCATTACAGTAATACAGTTGCATTTTGCTAAAATGCATTTTGTTCCGACTCGCTTCGCTAGACACTTCCACACCGCGAACAGACCAGACGGACGATTCACTTTCCCACATAAGAATAATGGACATTTTTAACAGGGATCAAGGACAAGACAAGGACTTTTTTGGATACAGAAAATGCGTTTTTTTTAAGTCATAATTCTAATTCGACCTGCAAAAGGTTTCACCAAACGCTATCATAGAGACAACAGAGATTGAAAGTGTATCATTTATTAAAATAAAACTTCAAAAGGTTAAGTTGAACATTTAACGCTAGCATGGAAGGAGTATGGAAGTGACCACCCGATAATTGTCCGAAAATGTTGCAGATAGTCTGAAAATGTTCTAGAAAGTCTGAGAACTTTCTGGATAGTCTGAAAATGTTCTAAATAGCCTAAAAATGTTCTATATAGTCATGTGTACCAGATAGTCTGAAAATATTCTGGATGGTTTGAAAATATTTTGGATAGTATGCAAATATTTTGGATAGTATAAAAATGTTCTAAAGAATCTCAAAAGTTCTAGATAGTCTCAAGGTGGACTAGATAGTCTGAAAATGTTCTGGATAGTCTAAAAATGTTCTGGATAGTCTAGAAATGTTCTGGATAGTCTAGAAATGTTCCGGATAGTCTAGAAATGTTCTGGATAGTCTAGAAATGTTTTGGATAGTCTAAAAATGTTCTGGATAGTCTAAAAATGTTCTAGATAGTCTAAAAATGTTCTGGATAGTCTAAAAATGCTCCGGATAGTCTAGAAATGTTCTGGGTAGTCGAAAAATGTTCTGGATAGTCTAAAAATGTTCTGGATAGTCTAAAAATGTTCTGAATAGACTAAAATTGTTCTGGATAGTCTAGAAATGTTCTGGATAGTCTAGAAATGTTCTGGATAGTCTAGAAATGTTCTGGATAGTCTAGAAATGTTCTGGATAGTCTAAAAATGTTCTGGATAGTCTAAAAATGTTCTGAATAGTCTAAAATGTTCTGGAAAGTCTAAAAATGTTCTGGATAGTCTAAAAATGTTCTGGATAGTCTAAAAATGATCTGGATAGTCTAAAAATATTCTGGATAGTCTAAAAATATTCTGGATAGTCTAAAAATATTCTGGATAGTCTAAAAATATTCTGGATAGTCTAAAAATATTCTGGATAGTCTAAAAATATTCTGGATAGTCTAGAAATGTTCTGGATAGTCTAGAAATGTTCTGGATAGTCTAAAAATGTTCTGTATAGTCTAAAAATGTTCTGAATAGTCTAAAAGGTTCTGGAAAGTCTAAAAATGTTCTGGATAGTCTAAAAATGTTCTGGATAGTCTAAAATGTTCTGGATAGTCTAAAAATATTCTGGATAGTCTAAAAATATTCTGGATAGTCTAAAAATATTCTGGATAGTCTAAAAATATTCTGGATAGTCTAAAAATATTCTGGATAATCTAAAAATATTCTGGATAGTCTAAAAATATTCTGGATAGTCTAAAAATATTCTGGATAGTCTAAAAATATTCTGGATGGTCTAAAAATATTCTGGATGGTCTAAAAATATTCTGGACGGTCTAAAAATATTCTGGATGGTCTAAAAATATTCTGGATGGTCTAAAAATATTCTGGATGGTCTAAAAATATTCTGGATGGTCTAAAAATATTCTGGATGGTCTAAAAATATTCTGGATAGTCTAAAAATATTCTGGATAGTCTAAAAATATTCTGGATAGTCTAAAAATATTCTGGATAGTCTAAAAATATTCTGGATAGTCTAAAAATATTCTGGATAGTCTAAAAATATTCTGGATAGTCTAAAAATATTCTGGATAGTCTAAAAATATTCTGGATAGTCTAAAAATATTCTGGATAGTCTAAAAATATTCTGGATAGTCTAAAAATATTCTGGATAGTCTAAAAATATTCTGGATAGTCTAAAAATATTCTGGATAGTCTAAAAATATTCTGGATAGTCTAAAAATATTCTGGATAGTCTAAAAATATTCTGGATAGTCTAAAAATATTCTGGATAGTCTAAAAATATTCTGGATAGTCTAAAAATATTCTGGATAGTCTAAAAATATTCTGGATAGTCTAAAAATATTCTGGATAGTCTAAAAATATTCTGGATAGTCTAAAAATATTCTGGATAGTCTAAAAATATTTTGGATAGTCTAAAAATATTTTGGATAGTCTAAAAATATTCTGGATAGTCTAAAAATATTCTGGATAGTCTAAAAATATTCTGGATAGTCTAAAAATATCCTGGATAGTCTAAAAATATTCTGGATAGTCTAAAAATATTCTGGATAGTCTAAAAACATTCTGGATAGTCTAAAAATATTCTGGATAGTCTAAAAATATTCTGGATAGTCTAAAAATATTCTGGATAGTCTAAAAATATTCTGGATAGTCTAAAAATATTCTGGCTAGTCTAAAAATATTCTGGATAGTCTAAAAATATTCTGGATAGTCTAAAAATATTCTGGATAGTCTAAAAATATTCTGGATAGTCTAAAAATATTCTGGATAGTCTAAAAATATTCTGGATAGTCTAAAAATATTCTAGATAGTCTAAAAATATTCTGGATAGTCTAACAATATTCTGGATAGTCTAAAAATGTTCTGGATAGTCTGAAAATATTCTGGATAGTCTGAAAATATTCTGGATAGTCTAAAAATATTCTGGATAGTCTAAAAATATTCTAGATAGTCTAAAAATATTCTGGATAGTCTAAAAACATTCTGGATAGTCTAAAAATGTTCTGGATAGTCTAAAAATGTTCTGGATAGTCTAAAAATGTTCTGGATAGTCTGAAAATGTTCTGAAGAATCTCAAAAAGTCTCAAGGTGTACTAGAAAGTTTGAGAATATTATGGATGGTCTGAAAATATTCTGGATAGTCTAAAAATATTCTGGATAGTCTAAAAATATTCTAGATAGTCTAAAAATATTCTGGATAGTCTAACAATATTCTGGATAGTCTAAAAATGTTCTGGATAGTCTGAAAATATTCTGGATAGTCTGAAAATATTCTGGATAGTCTAAAAATATTCTGGATAGTCTAAAAATATTCTGGATAGTCTAAAAATATTCTAGATAGTCTAAAAATATTCTGGATAGTCTAAAAACATTCTGGATAGTCTAAAAATGTTCTGGATAGTCTAAAAATGTTCTGGATAGTCTAAAAATGTTCTGGATAGTCTGAAAATATTCTGGATAGTCTGAAAATATTCTGGATAGTCTGAAAATGTTCTGGATAGTCTGAAAATGTTCTGGATAGTCTAAAAATATTCTCGATAGTCTGTAAATGTTCTGGATAGTCTGAAAATGTTCTGGATAGTATGCAAATATTTTGGATAGTATAAAAATGTTCTGGATAGTCTGAAAATGTTCTGAAGAATCTCAAAAAGTCTCAAGGTGTACTAGAAAGTTTGAGAATATTATGGATGGTCTGAAAATGTTCTGGATAGTCTAAAAATGCTCTGGATTGTCTAATAATAATTCTGCATAGTCTACAAATGTTCTAGATAGTATGGAAATATTCTGGATAGTATAAAAATGTTCTAGATAGTCTGATAATGTTTTAAACAGTCTAAAAATGATCTGGATAGTCTGAAAATGTTCTACATAGTCTAAGAATGTTCTCGATAGTTTGCAAATAGTCTGAATATATTTTAGATAGTCTCAGAATGTTCTGGATAATCTGAAAATGTATTTTAGATAGTCTAGAATGATCTGTGCAGTCTAGTATATGTTCTAGATAGTTTGAAAATATTCAGGATGGTCCGAAAATGTTATGAATAACCTAAAAATTTTCTAGTCAGTTTGAGAAAGTTCTATACAGTCTGGTTTCAGGTAGTCTAAAAATGTGGCAAATCATCTAAAAATGTAAATGTAAATTTGTTTGTGTCTACCCCTTACTATTATTTAACAGTCTCCACGCGCGATCCTTTTTTATTAAATCTTCAGTCTTAGCTCAAAAGGACCTCAGATAAAAAATTATTACAAAAATCGTCAATTGATAAAGAAGCTTGTCCGTGGCTTAGAGCTATGGGCTTCCATTCAAAAGTTCCAGGTTCGATACCCGCTTTAGACAGAAAACCTCACTTGAAAATATAGATAACAATGGTTTCCAAGTGAAAATATCCCGATGCTTAATTATTTTATATTATAGAAAAATAATAATTAACAGTATTATTATTGAAGTTACAATTAACTATAAAAAATTCAAATTACATAATGCATTTGTCGCGGTCTAGTGAACATAAAGTTATTCACTCACTCTCAGAATACCACAAATTTCTCTTTTTTATATTTTATAAACTTGCTGTGATGACTTCTTAATAAAATGTTTTTATAAGGCAACCCAACGGTTGCCATGTCTGTTTTTGATGAATTTATTATAATTAGATGCTAAGTATATTTCCGAAGTGAAAACCAATGCCAATACTTGATATCAGGCTATATCAAATATGGAAGTTTTGATTGGACGCCCATAGCTCTAAGCACTAATCCAGAAAAGTGTGATGACAATAACTTTTGCTCTTTGCAATCATGTGTTATATTGAATTTTAGGACGATCTACGATATGTAAATTGTTACGCTTTAAATAACTTAAGATAATCTCATGAAATGCAGATTTATTTTGACTAATTGATACGGTAATAATATTTTAAATATAATAAGTATTTGTTTTAATTGATATTGAACTATAAAACAATTGTTTATGTTGATAAAATGTTTGAAAGCGATTACATACAAGACTGTGTTCAGAATCTTGTTTAGCAATTACAACAATAAACAATAAATAAATTATTAACAATACGCAATTCTTATATCGCAATGTATAAATATTTAGTTGAAACCCATTCGGTGAAATGTAAATTAATAATTTCGATAATTGATATATGACATTATTCCCATCAGTCTATTTCTTTAGAACTACAGCTAGGTTAATTTAATGTGAAATTTGATGTGCTCTTTAGAGTACTTTGACAAGTACTTAAATATATATTAGAAGTGGATAAAATCATAAATAAATAAAAATAGGTAAATAAATAAAAATTAGTAAATAAATAAATATAAATAAAAAATAAATAAATAAACATTACCAATTAATCCTTTGATTTTCGTGCAGTAAAATCAATCAATTTTCGCCTCTTTATAATTCTTAAATGATGGTTGTTTCACTTAAGATGTATTTCACTGAATATGCGCTGTCCAAAATTTAACAATAAACTTGACATGCAGTTATGCTGCTCAATTAAGGCAAATTTTAGCCACCAATTTCAATCCTAAATACAATTGAATATCAACCTAGAAATAATCAAGAACGATATATCAAGTTATCTGAATCTGACCTACTAGGCTAACTACTCAATTCTACACAAAATACTAATACATACTACTTGCAAGTTAAAAATTTCACTATAACCAAGAACTCGAAAATGATATTAAAAATAATATGGTAAATAAACCAATAGCAATTAACCACAAATATAATGAGATGCCAATCCACATGGCAATGTTTATGATTATTTCATATCAACAATTTGTGGGGTGTTCGTGACACTGTTGTAAGCGCCCGGCTTTGCAATCACAAAGTCTTGAGTTCAAATCCACGCTTTGGACAACCAGCATTGATACGATAGACATTACACTACATGGATAGTCCTCATATGTTTTCCGTTGTATATAGTGCTCAAACATAGAAGGTACTGTGACGTCACTTGTTGAGGGAACGTTGCCGACAATCGCGGACTCTCCCGATTGGTCCAATGTCAAATGTCACATGTTTTATTTTAATGGCAATGGTGATGACTGATAATTTTGTAAGAAATGATATTAATATTAATATTTATCATGATAGTTAATTTAATTCAAATATTATCTGTGATAGTTATATTTCAATGATATAATAACTATCACAGATAATATTCAAATTAAATTAGCTATTATGATAAATATTTTATTAATATCATTTCTTACAAAATTATCAGTCACCACAATTGCAATTATATTATTAAAATAATACATGTGACAATTAATCAATCGGGAGATCCGCGATTGTCGGCAACGTTCGCTCAGTAAGTGACGTTACAGTCCCTTCTATGTTTGAGAACTTATTTTACGCTCGACTTGCAGTCCATGTAAAGAAAATAACACTTCACAGCATGTCTGTAATAATTTGATCTAAGGCTAATAGATATTATTTCAGGCTCTTGTCAAGAAATTGAAGAACACTTGATTTTTATAAAATCATTTGTAAGAAAAATAAATAAATGAATAAATCGTAGGGCTATGATATTTTAGGACGTTTAGATCACAAACTCTACCATCATGTTAGTTTAATAAAATCTAACATGATTAGTAAAACGGCTTTACTAATCAGCACGATTACCAACTGGTATCTTTCTAAGTGTTTTTAAACTTTCAAAATCGGTTCAGGATTTTTACAAAAATATTGACGAAAAAAATTCAGCTAGTACCAAAGAGACGACTCTGCCGATCGTCTCGTACAACTAATCAGCGCTGGTCTTTAACGAGTTTTATCAAATGGATTCCTAGCTTTTTGATAAATCACATAGAATATAAAATTGTAATCGGTGCAGTCGTTTTTGAGAAAACATCTATGAAACCAACTTCTGGAATGACCTGGAATATAAAGAAACTAGCAACTCCAGAAAATCTCTGAAGAAAACATTATCTTCTCATTCGAGAAGTTATTAAATAAAAGTAAAAATAATAGTAATAAGAATTATGTTTTTTTTTATTTATTATATAGTAATTTTTACATCAGTCCTAATATACACAAGTGAAACTGTACAATAAAAAAAAACGAAATCTCAATTCAGAGATTTTAAAAAATTGACATATGTGTAGCATAAATTTCTCTTTCAATCTTGCCCCAGTATTGTTGTGGCGTAGTTCTCTGGCAGGTGAATTTGGATGATCCTCGAGGCGACTTTTGTAATTGCCTGAATATGTTCGTATTACATAGCTTATTGTGTTCATATTTATGTATTGATCGATTCGGTTCATACTTTGGCATCTTTGAATTGTTATCACGTTTGATTTGAAGGCTGATCTCCATAGTTGTCCTAGGTCTGTATGTCCAAATTGGCTTAATATAGAAGTGTATGAGTAAATTTTGTTGTGCGTGTCATAATAAATAAAATTGTGTTTCCAATTAATATCGAAAAGTTTTCCATGAGTTTACTTAAAAAATCGACGATCAATCTGTTCATTTCCCTCCGTCCGTCGTGCGTTCCATGAATATTTACAACACTGTCAATTATCGCATGCTGTAAAAAGTTACGATTCTGAGATAATATCAGTTGATGTACAAACATAAATAAATATGACGTAATATCGCTTTTCGTTCTCAGTTTACATGTATGGAATTGTTCGTTGGCCCGATATTAACAATGTACAATGACTAAATGCTAAATGACTCCGCGCGTTCAAGTACTTTTGACGATTGCACAACGGCGTGTAAGCTCCTTTTATTTAGTTCCAGATTTATTGTCCTCGATTATTGCACAAACAATGAACGATTCGCTATCTCATTACCTCGAGGTTTCGGCTGATGTCGATAAACTGAGTACTAATTGAATGTTTAATACAAATCATAGCTTATTGAATAGCCAATAATAGGCAAAATGATCCAAACTAATTCTATATCCGATAAAATAGAAATGTAACATAGTATTGTTAGCATGGCAACAATGTTACGGTTCTATCTTCGTAGTTAGGGCAACGGTATGTTTTCTCCATATAAATTGCAATGGCAATGCTATTTTGCGGATCTTTCTTCATATAAATTGGTAGTAAAAACTGTCAAAATGCTTTGAATTTACAATGCAGTGTTTAAAATATAAAACCTAACCTAAAAAACGCACAAACGTTAAATAACAATTTTATCATAAGTGCATCTGTTTGATGTGCCATCGACAACACATACGTGAAGTTAGGTTTTATATGTAAAACGCACAGCAAATACATAGCTTCTGGACAGTTTTTACTACCAATTTATATGAAGAAAGGTCCGCAACATAGCATTGCTTTAACATTTCTAATTTAAAGGAGAATTGGCCCATAAGGAGCGTCCATTAATCACGTGAAGGTTTTAAAGGAGAGGGGGAGGTAGGGTTGGGGGTACCAAATATCCATGAAAAACAATCACGTGATTAATGGGCGTCCCCTAATAGTAACCTGTTTTATCCTATATGGTACTAATGTACCCAATTAAGATAGTTGAAAATATATTTGATAATCAAGGAATTTAAATAATTAGACAAATAAATTATGAGTTATTGCTCAAGTTCAAGTTAATTTTAGTCAACTTTTATTGTCAGATTATATTTTCTGACAACCTCGACAGTCAATTTGTATACTTGATGTGAATAGCATACAAACTTGTACCCCGTGGAATTTTTTACAGGAATCATAATTAACACATATAAATACCCTATATTTGCCATACCCTTGCTCATTTCGCAAATGCTTTATTAAATGCACTTCTTGCAAAAATCCTCTGATGAAAAATTATTGAAAGTATATTGTGTAAATATATAATTATTAATAATATGATATTACAACATAATGCAAATGCTGTATCTACCTGTAAATCTCAAGGAAAAGTATTATCCCATATCGAGCAGAATTAAAAATAATAATTTAAAGTGCGATAACACTTTATCTTATCTTAGAACCAATACGATGCTAATTTGATAAAAGCGTTTAATGTTTGAAAAGTCCGACATATTTACTAGGTGTAATAATATTATATTTGGGCCTAATAAAGGACTACTTTTATATTTAACCCTTACCGGTGGGCACTGATTCAAAAACAATCTACCAGCAACTCGGTGCCGCATTCTGACGAAAACGTACCTGCTGTAAACTTGATATTGTGCAATTTGTTTTATGTGAATTTGTGGACATTGAAGAACATCATATGTAATAAGAACTAAGTACAGTAAAATTTAAAATAATTTCCAAAACGCAGAGAAGATTAATTCCAGTTTCGTTTTAATTAATTAGAACCGTGACAGTTTTTTATCATTCCACAGAAAAATGTAATATATCGTTTTTTACATGTCTCTGTTTTTGTTAATAAAAATTTTGCGTTATAAAAATTGCTCGGTCGTTTTATAGTTTTTAGAAAAAAAAATTAATAAAAAACAATATAAAAGATATAATAAAAAAAAAAGAGTGCGCGTAAGGATCACACGCGATTGAAGTAAAACTTTTAATATTGTATGAGTAGGCAATTAAGATAAAAATAAAAAAATATCATATTTGAATTTTAAAAATCATTTATTAATAATCACATAACATCAATAACACAGTTTAAAACAACAGCGATAGATTAATTGCTATCATATTTCATATATGATATAATAGGTTTGTGATAACTAAAATGAGAGACATAAATTTTGCTTTGTAAACTATGTACATTTCTGGAGAAAACTGCATCAATAGCCGTGCCATATCTTGTGGTTGAATCAAATGGAGAATTATTCATTGTTAAATTAAATTTATTATTTAAAAAATCAATTAATGGTTGAGATTCTTCTGAACGAAAATTGACATTGAAATCTCCAGCAAGAATTAATGGTATCTCGTTGTGATTAGTGTTTAAAAGTTTTGCACCCTCATTAGAAAAATGAAGTAACTGCTGATGAAGAAATTCAATAATATTTGATATGTTTTTATTGGGAGAAATTTAAAGGATGACTATAATCAATGTTTGATTCTGTGTGTTCACACAGCGGACAACTGCAATATCACCTACTTGTGTAATTTCATTAGGAATATCCAGTAATATTGTTGGCGCAAGAAACTGCATAGGAGTGGCATTATGAACAGTATCTGAACATGAATGATAGACATTAGACAGCTACACCACCTACTCTTGAGTTTGATCGTTTGTATTGAGTAACGCAGTAATAGTTCTGAATATCAATTCGTTCTTCATTATTAATCCAAGTTTCCGAAAATAACAAAAACGTACAACGTTGTAGCACTTTATCTTGCAGATCAGGCAAATGAGCTCGTAAACTTTGGCAGTTAAAGGAAAACAATGAAATGTCGTTCAAACTTATTATCTCACTCAATTTTTCTTCTTGTGTTATTAATCTACAAGTTGAAAGTCTTTGGAATTTAGTTTTTAAGTCCATTAATCCTGCTGGCCGTTTTCTTCCATGATAAAATTTTTTGTCGTTGTTTTAGAAATGATGAACAATCCATTAATGCTGGTAACTCGTGATAATGCAACATATAGAAGCTGCTGATTATGTGTTTTATTGTATTCATATACAATTTTATCAAAAGTACCACCTTGTGATTTGTGTATTGTGAGTGCACAAGCAGACACTAAAGGAAAATGATTTCTTTTGGCAAATATGATTTTATTTCTATTCATTGGAATAGATGAAGATCTCCTGAGAATCGGCACAGCTGTCCTACTGATATTAAGAGTTTGAATATGATGTGCAGCTTTCTTCCTAATTTTGTTACCTATCTTACCAGGAAATTCAAACCATAAACGTAGAAGTTCATCATTATTGCCACGTTCTATGTACACTAATTTTCCTACACAACCATTAGCTAAGCCATCACTTACATCAATATTAGTTGTTATTATGTAAAATTTATTCAGAACTAAAATTATTTCATACGGCAAACCCCCGGTATCAATAACCGATTTTTGTGAAACTGCTGACGAATGTATGATTGTTGATCTGTCGCATGGCAACCTACATAAATATCCGTATTATTTTGTCTTCAACGAGATTCAATATAAATTTATTATATTCCATGACACATTTATTCTCTAAGAAAAGTCTTATTCCATGAGGACATAATACAGCAACCTCTTCTTTTGTAAAAAAACGTGATTCAATTAATGCAAGTTCATATAGGGTTTAGCGTTCGACTTACGCATGACATGACGAGAGTGGATCGCGACTCGCGACATCAGCGCCTACCTGCGTCGTAGTGTTCAACTTCACGTTGGCGTTTTCGTTGCATTTGTACGGATTTACACCCGTGTCGCGCCTAGAGAAATTTTTACACCCATATCGCGCCTAAAGAAGTTTTACTTCAAAAAGAGTAAAAATTACTTGGAGAACAACTAACAGTAAATTTTGCAAAGAGAACACTATCTTATCGCTGCATTGATTTATTCCAAGAATGAGCAACCTTTTTTAACTCACGGGCCGCATTTAATTTTTAAAATTTTACGGTGCGCCACACTTAATTCACAAAGCTTGAAATATACTAATAAACATTACAATGCAAAAATACTATATTAAATAAGTAAACAATTCTTAAACAATGCAACAAATTCTAATTGTTTTGTCATGGAAAAATGTTGATGAAATAAATAAAATTCTACTTAAAAAATGCTTGACAGGCTGCAGAAAAATTTTGAAGGACCGCATGAAGATCACGGGTTGCTCATCCATGATCTATTATGGTTTCGGTACAATGATATTACCGAATTAAAGTATATTTTTCTGATAATAATGTTTACATAACTATATTACGATTAGTATTAGTATTTACTCCACAGTGCAGGTTGTAGAAATAGAATGATTGTGTCAAAAATCCTCTGTTTTATACCAAGCTAGAATATCCCCTCTTTCGCTTCTAATATATCTAATACAATATCAAAAAAAAAAAAATTAACATGAGCCGCCTTCTTTGCTTTCTTCTCCGCTATTGGTGTTTTTGGGAATATAAAGAAACAGAATAAAAACAACATTTTTTATTACTCAATGAATAAAATATATTAATAAATGTGGCTATTCTGTTCTATAGTAAAATTTGATTCAAACCGATATGAAACTAAACATTCCCAGCCCATTGAAGAAGATCAATTCAAATGCTTCATATAGCTCAGTCAGTAGCATGCCCGATTTAAACGTCAGGAGATACTCGGTTCGAATCCTGGTACTGACAAAGAATTGTCAATTGATTTGTTGGATTGAAATTAAGTAGAATTTAAATTTTTGATTTGAGATAGAATAGAATTAGAAGTTAGAAGAAGAAGCAAGGTTAGAAGATGAAGAATAATGAAAAAGTCAGTTGTAAAGAAAATTGGATAGTATAAGATATAATAGGAAGATAGTATATATATATATATATATATATATATATATATATATTGGGTGTTCCATGGTGTAATGGTTAAGCTCACGAACTCATGAGGACGGGGTCGTGAGTACGAATCTTTAGATAACCTGATATCGTACGGTAGCGATGTCCATTTTTACTTGAAATTATAGATCAAAAATATGCTTCCAATTGAAAATAGCCCGTTTCGGGTACTGCGTTGTGAAATGGCAATGGAAAATCTCTCACTATTCTTCCCTGACACTGAAAATTTCAAGGAATGGAAAATCTCTCACTGTGCTTCCCTGAAATTGTAAATTTCAGAGAAACTTTCCTGACAATTTACAGACAAATAGTCAGAAATAAAAAACAATAAATAATTTAACTATTTATTCTGTACGTTTCGACAACGTATGCGTATCATCATTTAACAAAATTATACCAGAAAAAAACACACAAACATAATATATATACATATAAAAAACATAGTTTCAAAGAAGCAAATGAAGAAAATAATATATTTAAAGAAAAATTAAACAAGAAAATTATGTAGTTGCTAACATGACTAGCAAAAATAAAAATGCCAAATTTCTTTGAAATAATGTTTTTTAATACATTTTTATATATATATATATATATATATATATATATATATATATATATGTTTGTGTTTTTTTTCTGGTTTGATTTTGTTAAATATAGTGAATGATGATACACATACAATGCCAAAACATACAGAATAAGTTGTTCAATTATTTATTGATTTTTATTTCGACTATTTCTTTTAGGCACATATGATTTTCGGATTCTAAGGATCAAAATAAGATACTTTTCTCAAGAAACAATACTTCCAAAATGAATTCTGATGTCCCGTGCATTGACCCTAAGATTAGGATTAAATTCTGGAAAACCTCTCAGGGAGGGGTCTCAGTGGGTAAACGACGGGCATGGGTGGATCCAAAGTTAGTAGGGGGTCGGTCATACATTTGGACGCGATTGGGACACTGTGATTGGGTCAAATGAAATTTTTCAAATTTTAACCCTTATTTTTGGGTCAATGCATGGGACATCAGAATTCATTTTAGAATTACGGTTTCTTCAGCAAAGTATATTATTTTGATCCCTTGTATCCGAAAATCATGTGTGCCTATGCGACTTTCTTTGAACCATACAAATCGACCCGCTCTAATATAAATATATATAATATTAATTTATTTTTTTAATATAATAGCGCTGTCTCGTTCTACGATCACAATGATAGAACCTAACACGCGCGTTAAGCAGGGGTGTCATCAATAAAATATTTAATATATTAAATTATTTATATAGATACTTAAAAATATTTTAATTATATGAAGTAGACAAATGATATGTATATATAAAATATGAAAATTGTTTCATAATCTCTCATACCAGACACCCCTGTCTGACTGAGATATGAAAATAATATATAAATAAATAAATAAAAAATCAAATATATTAATATATATACTATATATAATAATATAATATATAATATTAATTTATATATTTAATATAATAGAACCGCCATGTTTTATGATCACGCAATTAATGACACCCGGGCGTTAACCGCTGTGGGGTGTCATTAATAAATTATTCAATATAATAAATTATTTATATTAAATATATTAACGTATTATATATAATATTAACATGTTATATTACATATAATATTAAAAATATATAATATTAATTTATATATTCAATATATCACCGCCATGACACATTGACAGAACGTAACAGGGCGGTAACCGCTCATGGGTGTCATTAATAAATTATTCAATATAATAAATTATTTATATCAAATATAATAATGCATATATTATATATATATATATATATAATATTAATTTATAAATTTAATATAATAGAACCGCCATGTTTTATGATCGCACTGATAGAACGCAATTAATGACACCAGGGCGTTAACCGCTGTGGGGTGTCATTAATAAATTACTTAATATAATAAATTATTTATATTAAATATATTAATATATTATATATGATATTAATATATTATATTATATATAATATTAATACTATATAATATTAATTTATATTAAATATAATAGCCCGCCATGCTTTATGACACATTGACAGAACGTAACCCGGGCGTTAACCGCTGCCGGGTGTCATTATTAAATTATTTAATATAATAAATTATTTATATCAAAAACAATAATACATTTATATATTATATATAATATTAATAAATGATATAATATTAATTTATATATTTAATATAATACCACCGCCATGCTTTATGATCATACCGATAGAACGCAATTAATGACACCCGGGCGTTAACCGCTGTAGGGTGTCATTAATAAATTATTTAATATGATAAATTATATCAAATATATTAATACACATATAAAATATATAATATCAATATATTATATATTATTAATTTATATATTCAATATAATAGCACTGTCATGCTATATAGATAGAACGTTAGCCGGGCGTTAACCGCTATTAGGTGTTATTAATGAATTATCTAATGTAAGATAATACAATAATATACACCAACGCCATATCAAGATTATTCCAGGAATAAAACGATATAAACATTTGGTAAAATCAAGCTATGATGTAATCAAAAGAGATAGATAATAAATATCGGTATCACCTTCGATAAAATGTTAATCCTCAAAATGTATCAGTATTACTCAAATACTTTGTACGAGCACATCATTTAGCCATGGCTAAGGTATAATAGATATTTAATATCTTTATTTAATATTTGCATGTCTACTCACCAATGTCGGCGAGAAGCCGCCCGCTTGATTCTAGGTTAGGAAGTTTCAAACCCTTTTATTTGCACTCGGGAGTGTTGTTTTGGATATCTGATATTATCCACTGCACAACGTATAACTTGAGATTAATTACGATATGTTTTAAGAAAATATAAGCTTTGTTTTAACAAATTACTCATTAAGCAAAATCACCATTGATCACGACCGTGCGGGCGAACAGCGAATAGCGATTGATTGACCAACCGCGCGGCGAACGCACTTCACGGTAAAGTAGAAATTGAATTCGCGGGTAGTCCTAAAAATGCCGCGAAGACAAAATCGGCGAACACAGGATGGTTATTTAAATGGGGTTATATGGGGTTCGAAGGCGATGAGATAAAGAAAAATTAGTATGAGAAATCATTTTTAATTGTAGTTTTTGAATATTTTGACTAATTATGCTCAGACTAAGTCTTGAAGATTTGAAGAACTTCGTAACATTCTCGCGCCAATTCAAACCGATACCTAGTAGTCGCATCAAAAATTTGCCTCTTAAAATTAAGACTTCGTTCCATAGACGGATCAATTCATATAGAAATTGCACAAATCATATGCCATTCTTAAATCATCATCAAGATTCATCAAATTAAATCTTACCCTTGTTGAAGCAATTGAATTGCTCTTCTTCATGTACTGAGAATGTTTTGTTTCATGTAGGTTTGCAGTAAATTTTACTCTAGAACGGCAACATTTAACAATATATTTTATTAATTGCGTAATAAGGTTGTTTTCATTCTTTGTTTACATTCCCCAAAACATTAATAGCGGCGAAGAAGACCCAGACAATGAAGGCGCCCAATTTGAATTAACAAAACTGAATGTTGCACTGTCTTGAATGGCAAAATTATTCAATAATCAATTATTCACTAATCAATTATTCAATATCTATTTATTAATTATTCAATTAACGATTTTTTTTCTTTTTTCCAGATAAATAGCAAATACAGCGATGAACTTGCACAAGAATGCTTGGAATGGGTCAAAACCATTACTGGAGAGCCCGAAAATGTTAGCGGCGATATGGACAATTTTTACGAAGTATTGAAGGACGGCACACTGTTGTGCAAGTAAATATTTTTTTACATAAAATACATTAATTATAGTTAAGTTTCATACCTATCAATCGAACTTTATTATTCGATTTAATATCCTGAAGAAGTCTGTTTTCTCAAAACATCCAATTTGCTTATTCTATATTTTTAAGTCATTCTAAATGGTTTTACACCTAAATTGGTAAAAGAGTATGCATGCCTGTGAGACAGAAATAAACAGTTAAAAATTTTAGCCAAATAGCTAAATCTCAATCTTGATTGATTATGTGGATTATTGGAAAATTCATTTTACTTGCCTCAAGACAAAATGCCACTTACATCCAGTTTTAATTAGATATATATATATATATATATATATATATATATATATATATTATATATATATATATTTGTAATATTTTTGCAGCCCAACCGTCGAATTAAAAAAAAGATTAAATAACAAAATTATTTGTTAGCTTGAGCTTTCAAGTCTTTTTGAACCTATAAAGTATTAGAAGAATTTGTCATAACAAAAGATTGTTCTATAAATTCAGATTGCTGTACACAATCATTCTTGTGTAAATAGTCCATCATTATATAAAGAACATTTAGTATTTAATTATTTCTTCATTCCAATAATGTAAAATATTATAGAATGTGATATGTTACCTTTCATCATATCATCACCATTATATTGTGTTTATATTGATAATTTATTTTCAGATTAGTGAACTCTCTGCAAGCTGGTTCTGTAAAGAAAGTCAATGAGAGCAAAATGGCTTTTAAATGCATGGAGAATATAAATGCTTTCTTGGAAGCGGCTAAAGCTATGGGCGTTCCTGCGCAAGAAACTTTCCAAACGGTTGATCTGTGGGAAAGACAAAATCTTAACTCTGTTGTCATTTGCCTACAATCATTAGGGCGAAAGGTAATACAATTGAATTATAAAATTCATTAATATACATGGCTTCATTAAAACAACATCAATATTTCAATGTAAAAATGTATCAATAAATTAATGGATTACTTTTTCTTTAGGCTGGAAATTATGGTAAACCATCAATTGGACCAAAAGAAGCTGATAAGAATGTGCGCAACTTCAGCGAGGAGCAAATGCGTGCTGGTCAAGGTGTTATTTCACTACAATATGGCTCAAACAAAGGTGCTACACAGAGTGGCATCAACTTTGGAAATACTAGACATATGTAGACATTTACTTATTTAAAATTAGTTAGATATGTAAGAGACCAATTAAATAATTCCAAATTATATGTGTATATAGACAATAGAAGCATGGCCTCACTCTTGTGATGTGCAAATGTTTAAACTTCCAAATTTAAATATGAAATTATTTTGTTACCAATGTATTCATTAATTTCACTTGATTCAAAATCACTATTTTTATATATAAAATATATTGTTCAGCAACTCATTCAACAAAATTTATTAATCAGTATTTGTAAAGTTTATATAATGGTTACATTTGCAAATTAAATAAAATTATTTTATTATTTGAAATAAAACAAAATTATATGAATAATGCAACTTTTATTTTTAGTTCTAAAATATTTTGGACAATTATACTATGTTTTTTTATTGTAATATTTAAATTATCTTTGGAAAGGATAATAATCCAACACGCTTTTCAGTTTCAACTTACGGTTTGGACTTTTCTTAGCCTGTGCTATTAATGCTTGTACTTCAGTTCTATAAGCTGGCGGTAAAAGTTCTTCTTCTAATGTGCAGCTTTCAACTACTGAATCTTGAGTTTTGTATATACATTTCCGGATGATATCGATGTCTCTACTATATCCTAAACAAAAATCGTGGTTTAAAATCATTGATAGTTGATTGAGAGAATATGAGATGTAAGAAAAACTTAATAAAATTCAGATTAAAGAATTTTCAAAACTGACACAGGAGAAACTATTATTCAATATCACACTCAATATATAAGAGTAAAAAATATAAGGCAATGACTATAATACAGTAATAAATAATATTATGCAGGCTAGTTTATGTAGATGCTAACAAATGCAGATGTATTGATTTAAAAATCTTTCATTGATAAGAATATAAGATAATATACTGATATTCTTTTTCCAATTACGAGATATTATCAATTTATTAATTTGGTTATCTTTTTGTTTTGAAATTACAATTTTATATCCAGAAAGTAATTTATGTGTATGAATGAATTTTAATTCAACACAATATCTATGTTGTGAGTATATTTATTAGGCATATATGTAACGCCAAATGCAACAATTATAAATTAATAGACTTTTCAGTACAGCTGTAAAAATTAAGTAAATTTATTAACGAGTATATTCAAAAAGTTTAAAGAATTTCAACTAAGAGTAGTTTCCATCTTCGATAGTTGCAATTTAATTTTTAGCTTTCCTGATGCAGTCCAAATGTAAAATCAACTTTTGTTAATAGATAGTAGGCAATTTAGATATCTTTTGGTGAAAAAGGGTTGTTTAATCCATTGTGTTTGGCTTATGTTGAAAGATGGAAAATTTTATTACAGCTAAGGTAAAGAGGCATCTTAAGCTCACAAAAATTTGAGCTGTTTAAGGCAACAAAACCTGCAAAAATATTGGTTCGCCAAGTTTTGTTCTGGTGATTTTTCACTCAAAGCTGGATTGTTCAGTTGAAGTTAATTAAATAGGAATTGCTTAGGTTCAACTGTTATTACTGTTCAATTCTGATGTCTACATTAAACAACTAACAAAGTTAAAAAATGTAGTTGAAAAAAGTGGCCTGAATTGGCGAATTGAAATGGTGATTTATTCCATCATTGACATCACATATATTTGGCAACTCGGCAAAAATTATTAGAGCTCGCATGGGATATTTTATCATATCCACCATATAGTCCTGAAATCCACCTTTTGATTACTTTTTTTTCGATCTTCACATAAATTCTCAAGTGGTCAACAATTCAATGTTTATGATGATGTCATTATTTACCTGATTAAGTTTTTTGCAAATGTAGACCAGAAGTTTTATAAAAGTGAAATGATAATACTGCTTGAAAGATGACAAAAAGTAATTGATTAAGATAAGCAATACATCACGAAATAAAGTTATTTAGTTCCATTGAAAAAAAGTCTTTAATTTCCTAACAAAAATCCGCAATTACTTAGTTGCCAACCTAATATGTGCTCAAACAAGAAAAGTATCATTGCAAGTAATGAGATTAATTAATATATTCTAGAAAATTTTATACAAATAATTTCTATTCATTTGCTACATAAAATTAAACAGGATATTCATACTAAAGAAATTATTCAATCAACTTGTAAGAATTATGTACCCCGTTATCACGTTTTATTGCCACATTTGAGTTAAGGGCACAACTAGTGTAACCGCCTAAAAAAAAGGTGATTTTTGGAAATTTATATTAAAAAACTACTTTATCAATCATTTCAAAATTTTAGGAATATATTTATACATGTTTTAAGAATACATAGTGAAAATTTTGAAGAAAAAATTAAATATTTTTTGAGTTATCGTCGATCTCCAACGGCGCGACAAAAAAAAGGCCCTTAACTGCTGCAGTGATTCAGGCCTTCTACGTGGATAAAATAAAAAAAAAAAAAATTCTCGTTAAACTACATAATATTGTCTGTAAAATAAACTACGATAAAAAAAATAAATCAAAAATTGACAAGATGGCGACGTTTTAAAAAAAAAGTCGAATTTTACCCAAAATTTTGATCGTTTTCCGACTGCCAAATTTCGATTTTTGATCCGATCAAAAAATCGATAGTTCATTTTACGGAGAACTATATACACAATATGTAAAAAAAAATTGATAGTGATCGAATCATTCGTTTTTGAGTAATCACTGCAGCAAATTCAGATAATGCTTTTTCGAGAAAAACGTGTTTAAAGATAAAATGACCGTTGTACAATATACTATATATATACTTTTTAAATGGCTGTAACTCAGAAACTATTTGAGATATCGATTTGAAATTTCAATATGTTATTTTTAAAGGTGTAATCTACCGAAATATGAAAAAAAAACAAAAATCGATTTTTTCAAAATTTCACACTAGTTGTGCTCCTTAATCTATGTTACTACATAACCTTTTCTAAATTGTCCAAATTATTCAAACTTTTTGATATCTTAAAGAATTTATTAAATGTGAATAAACCAAACAATACCTTCATGTAAATCAGAAATTGCGTTAGGAGGAGAATCAAATGTCATTAAAAAATAATTTCCTTGTCGATACACTTGTCCATGTTCACTCATTTTAAATGGAAGGTCTCTGGCTCCCAAATTTTCTATTTTCCTAATAACTCCTCCCTTATCGAATATGGATTCTGCTGTTCGTTTTAGCGTAGAAAATATCTCATTCTGCAGTAACAAAAATAGGGAAATGACAAATGTTATTACACAGAGGATCTATGAATATATAAATGATATACACTACCCTTGGCATATTTCTTAATATTAACGATAACTCATATGTGATCATCTTGAATTAATAAGTTCAAGAAAATAAAAACGAAATTATGCAATTTTATAGTTGACAAATACAATTATTATATTGTCTAGGTTTCTTCTAACCTATTTACATGTGAGGTTTAAGATTGAAAGACATGTTGACAACCATATAAATGTAAATTTGTTTATGAGCGCGTTATTCAAATTTGATTTGAAAGCGGAAATTTCAAACCGAAATTTTAAATATTATCAATCTCACAAATGTTTATCAATACAAGCTTCCACCTGTTGAATGTATCATATAAGGCCAGTTATATATATAGAATATCTTAATTCGATTATTAAAGAACACACTTGATGGTTTTCAAATATTATTTAAAATTTAGAAATAAATATAAAATAGTAGCGATTTTATTATTTTCTTTTGATAATTTTTAATATTGCAAGATGTCGAAGATAATTTTAATATCTATTTGCAAATACAACAAATATTTGTATATAATTAAATTAACTTTACATGGAACAATTATATTTTCATTAATATTATATTAAATGAACTAAAAATTTTAGATTAATCTATATTGCTGAAGCTAGTTCAGCATTTATTCATTCTTCTTTTTTGACAATATAAAATTTATAAAACTTTTGTATGTTGTAGGCTAAAATCTAACTAATGAAATTACCTTTGTCAGCATCCCCTGGTTCTAATTTGCTCAAAACATCAAAGAGTACAAACATTTTATACATCTTTATCTATGAATAGAATGATTTCAATTTTTGTTATTCTCCTCTGAATCACTCACAAATGTAATAAGTTAAAGACATGCATCAGGTTCCTGAAAGTAATTTGATACAAGATTTTTATTATTTCTAAAAAAGAGACATCCTTAATAATCAATCTTTATCAAACCAAGTTTTCCATAATTCCACATGTGAATAATGTTTCTTCAATATTATGCAAAGTATTAGTCTTAATCTCGAAGCAATCAAGTATAACTTTCAAATAAGCGACATAAATTTGTTGTAATTTTACATCCATAGTTAAACAATGTTGATCATAACTGTAACTATTATACGAAGACATTTCCATTATGATACTTAATACATTTTTTAGAGTAATAGTAACTTTGCTTCATCACTCTTCTTCATTTTGGTTTTAGAGTTTAAAAAATAAACACTTTGATATATATTATATTGCTGATCCTACTGGTTTGTTAGATTAAATTATATATGTACTTATTTTGTAAATATAAATTTAACATAGTCATATATTTCAAATTCATTCTTTACTAGCATAGCTCGATTGACATCTTGTGCATCTTTGAAACCTTGGTATCATTGTTATTATTTTTTAGTTTACCATCGTCTCAATCACCATCACTTTGTATGTTACTGTATTTGTAAATTTCAAGTTTACTAACAAATTCTTCAAATTTCACATATTAACTGAAACCATTGTCACTATAATACAATCCGTACTTCTGTATATATATCCCAGAAAAGAGCATGACAAAGTTTACGAAAGTAATGTAACTTTTTCTATTATTACTGAAACAAATGTTAATAAAATTATTATAATTATTCTTGTAAACTCAAATGATATCTTAGGCACATAATTCACTTCTGGAGCAAAGAAATGTGTGAATGATATGTTTCAGAGGGTAAATGTCCCCAAAGTGTTAATAAAAATTTCAGATGCGATATATATATATATATATATATAATATAAATGATATTCTACTAATTTCAAAGCCAATGAACATATAATTTTGTATTTAAATCTTCATAGCTTTTATAATCAAACATCTTTAGTAAATATAATTTTATAAATATATAATTTAAAATTTTGATAATGTAACATTAAATATAGCAAAATAATGAATACTGAATCAAATAAATGTGAAATTTAGCATGAATGTGATATAGTATGAATTTAAAAGTAATGATAATAAAAAAATAATATATATAGCGTAAAATTCGAAAACTTTATGTTTGCCGCCTTCACTCTTCTTCTTCTTCTTCCGCCTCTTCCTCTTCTTCTTCTTCTTCCTCTTCTTCATCCTTTCGAGAATTGTCATCTAATTTTTCTTCAACTATTTTTTCTTCTTTATCGTCTTCTTTAGTATTTTCTATGTTTTCCTCAGATTTCTCTTCAGTTGCTTCTTCGTGCTCCGTTCCATTTTTCTCATTAAAATCTTCATCAATATTATTCATACCTATTTTGTCGATGACATCGCTAACGGCGCTATTAACTTCATTTTGTTTGTTATTAATTTCCTCTTGTTTGCTGATTCTTTCTCCATTGAATTCATTTTCAATCTACAATGTTAAAAAAAAGGTTTATGTATATGATAAGTGAGTGATGCAATGATTCAAAAATATACAATAAATATATAAACGATATGTAGAGTGTCCCAGAACTCAAATCTATCTTGCTTATTAAGCTTGTGCGAACAAAAAGCATTTAAACTGATTGTGAGTAAAATGTATTAGGAAATTAGTGGCAATTTTTTCACGGCTTTTATTTTATTAACTTCCCGTAGAGTAAGTTATTGTAATCATCCAAAAATCAAAATTGAAAATTTTTACATTTATTTACGTTTTGAAGGTTTCTTAACATTTGGGCATACCTAAGGAAAAAATACATGTGTGTTTTTTTTTGTATAGCGAAGGAAATGCCTTCATGCATCCCAGACTGGAAAATACATGTGTGTGTGTCTGTATGTATGGATACAATTTTTCGTCCACGTTTTCAGGCGTACGGATTAACCGATTTAAAATTTAAAAACATTCGATTCGAAACGGGAGATGTGCTGATTAGTTTTTGGCAAAGACGGGTCCAGCCGTTTCGGAGACGCGGAGCAAAGAGTGCAGAAAATAGAAATCGAGTTTTCGAAAGAACGGAGCATCCAATTTGAATGATTCAGAAAACTTTCTACTTATGTTGACGAAACAATTGCTTTTGGTAAAAAAAAATTTTAATATTATTTTTTTTAATTCAAAAAAAAATTTTTTTTTGAATATCGAAAGCAAATCTAATTTAATTTTTTTTTCTAGTTAAAGTTCTAAGGCTCACTAATATACTTCAAATAAATATTTTAACTTTGCAATTCAGTTTATATAATTCTTAAAAATTAGAATGTCCTTCATTTTAAATTCCATTGATTAAGTTTTGTTTATTTAGTTTTCACACATATAAATTACAGTATTTATAATAATCTGTTTGAGAACATTTAATATTCTTCAAATATTTCATCATGGTACGTGAAGTTCCAGAAATTTGCCTTTAGGCACAATGCCATTCACCACTAGTTTACTCTTTTCTTTTAGTTGTATAAAACCATATAAAACTAACAAGTATTTTACCATTTTGCATTTCTGATTAAATGCACAAACTTTGAATGGAACTAGCCAAGGCACAATAGTAAATTGTTTTTAACGGAGGGCTTTTGAAAGTCGAAAAAATAATGAAAACTTCAAGTTCATAGTTTAACAAATAGTGTCATTATTTTTCACTGTGGCCCCAAAGATGTTATTTCGGTTAAGGTTCCAAAGCTTAAATGACCAAAATCAATAAAATTAACTACAATAACCGAAAAATGGTCACAGTTTGACCAAAGCTCTAGGTTGTACTTAAAAACTCATAATTTTCAAACTATTTCATGACAGTTATACTTTGTTTCGGCAAGACGTTAAGTTCTGGGGACACCTTGTATAAAAAATAAAGGAGTAAATAAATGTTATGAAAGTAACAAGTCCTTTCACAAGAATGAAACGTTTAGAACAAATTTTAGATGAAGTTTAGAATATATTATACTAACCCTTTCAAGTTTCAGAAATTCTTCAAGTTTGTCGATTTCGTTTGCAATATCAAACCCATCATAATCTCCACAATAAGTTTCATCATTAAAAATCTGAAAACAATATAAATCATGAAACAGCTCAATCTAATGTAAGTTTTCTTAAATTAAAAGAATTTACCTGAGGGGGCAATGGACGCACTTTGTTTTTCGTTTTCTCAGAATTACTGTAATAAATCATTGATTTCATTATTCAATGATGGAAAATAAAGATTGTAATTCAAAAAAAAAAGTAACAGAAATTAATAATAATTTTGTTAGATTATCTGCCATAAACATTTTAATAAAATAATAAAATTAATAATTTGTAGGGGAATGGAGTTTACTGGTATCCATGACAATTTTTTTTTTTTTGATGAGAATACCTCGTAAAATTTAACATATTAAGTACGAGTTAATACAGAAAAGTGTTACTATAGTTACTTAATTAAGTTTTATAATATGTTATATTTAATCACTATAAACCTCAGATTATTAAAGCAAATCTTATCAAGTTCTTTTCAATAATGTGGAAAAATTGCACAATATTATTTTACATATGAGCCATTTATTTTAAAAGTAGTTCAACTCAGTTTTTCAATTTGTTCCGGCAAATCATGTACAACTTTATGTTTTTATCAATAAAGCATTTCAGGTTGCTTATAATCCAAGCAATTACAGTAATTCTCGACACATAAGCTTTCAAAGTTAGTTATAATCAAACCATTAGGTTTGAGAGTGGCCTAACTCCATACTCCTTTTATACATAAATAATAAAGATAATATATTTACTATAGATGATGCCAGAAAGTAATGATGAAGGTAATTTTAATAAATTAAGTAGTATTTACATTTATCTTCAGTTTCTGAACAATTGTTTTGGTTGAATAACCAGTATGTTTAATTAATTATAAACTTAAATTTATACATATTAAATTTGAGAAATTTATTAACCCATGGTAGAGAACAGAACAATACTATTATTAATTCCAGTGAGTTGAAAAAAGAATGTAAGTAAATGATTAAATAATTATAGTCCTGAATTTATTACCATGTCGGGGTTGTACCAAAAAAAATTTGAAAAATTGTATTGACACCATTGGATAAAAATATCAGATATATTCTAGGAGTAAAATTCAAGAACATAATGAATTTGTCACAAACGTAAGCCCTATAATTATTATATGATGTGAAAACTTATATTTAAAGGCTTGTTTGTAAAAAATTCTAATCGATCACATGCAGTAGTTTTTGGATGGTGCCACTTTGA